TTCACAAACAATACTCCCCACTTCTTCCAGCCCCTTGCTCTGTGGTACCTTCTGTTTCTGGGGTTAAAATGTTGGATGACAGGATACAGGATAAAAAAGAAAATTAGGTTGCTCAAGAAGAAAAGGTAGGAAGAGGGCAAATTATAGGAACAAAGGTGAACAGTCAAGGGAGACGATGGGGGACAGGGATGGAAAAAAAGGGTGAAACAAAATGGGGAGATGAAAAAATATTCAATAGTAAAGTGAGGGCAGGGAGGAAAATCAAGTCAGCAGGGAAGAGGTTTGTGGTGGGAAGCTCCTGGAGAGGCACACAACACACCGGAGAGCAGAAGTGAGGTCCTGATGGGGGAGACAGGCACATGGCAAAGGAGACTGTCAACAATGCTAGGAAGTCCCAAAGCTTCCCTGGTGAAGGTGGCTGACGAGGCAGTCCTGGCTGTGCTGAAAGGGCACTGGAGTCCTTGGGGGAGACACATCTGCTCCATTCCTCCACTCTTCCAGGCCTCTGACCATTGACTATCACAATCATGGCTGATAAGCCAACTCCAAGGTAGCCTGAAAAGGCCAGAAATATTATCCATAAGGACCCTGAAGGAGAGGGAATAGAGTCTTAGACGGGCAGAACAGTCGGGAAGCCAAGGCGTGACACACCGTGGCAGGGACACCCGGGGAGAGTATCATTCGGATAGGAAGAGTCACATGTGGAGACAGTGACACCCAGACCCGGAGATGGAAGGGTGGGGAGAACGAATGAGGTGAAGAATGGCAAAATCAAGAGGCAGGGGCACATGGACGGAGATCAGTGGGGCTACAGACGCGCGTGGTCGAATGCTCAGAGATGATACGGCTACTCAGAGAGAGGGGCAGACAAGAGTGGAGAGTTGGGGGCCAGGAGAGACACACTTCACCTTGAATGGAGCAGTGACCTCCCCTCACCTACTCACACCTTTCNAAACGAAGATCTGAGATTAAAGGTATCCACGTCCCCTTCCACCCCCACCCCTTGGCGCGCTAGCCCATCCATCAGCCAGCCCGCCGGCCGCGGTTCCTCCACCATCCCGCGGCCGGCGGGGGGCGGCCGAGACCCAGACCCCTCCGGGCTGACAGCTCTGAGCCCCCGCACTCACTCGGCCTCCCCTTCCCTCTGAGACCCCCGCTCCACGCACGGTTCGGCGCAGTCCGTCTAGGCTCCCGTGACCCTCAGCCAGTCCGGCTGGCTCCTGGTCCAGCCTCGATGCCTTCCCCTCCCCATGTCTCCCTCCACCCCTTCATCTCTCTCTTCCCCCGGATCCCCGTTCGCACACCCTCTCCCCCTCAACCCCTGCTCCTCCTCCTCGGGCTCCCGGTCTGTCCGTCCGTCCGTGCCCCCCACCCCCACCCTAGCCCCTTCCTGTCCCTTCCTGTCCCTCTCCATGCCCTCCAGCGGCTGTCTCCGGGCGCCTCCTCTCCCCTCCGTGTCAAGCTTCCAAAGAGCAAGGGAGAAGAGAGAGAGGGAGAGGAGAAAAAAACCCAACCCAGCAGCATCGGAAATCGATGCACTTACACCTCAGCTGGAAGCAGGGACAGGAGTCGAACCGCGGCCGCCGAGCAGCGCGAGGCGGGGAGGGGAGGGGGCGGCTCTTGGAAAGGACTTCTTCGGTGTGTTGATTCCTTTTTTTCCCCTCCTCCTCCCTCCCTCCAGCGCTCACTCCGGGGCGTCGGGGACGGAGGTGGAAAAAATAAATAAATAAATTCACGGCGGTGAGGGAAGTGAAGGAAAATAATCAATGCTATTTGGCTGCGGCTGAAGTGTTTTCCCGGCTTCGTGAGGGGGTTTCCATTGATTCACCCTGGGCACTCGCTCGCTCCCTGCCTCCTCCTCCTCCTCGCCCTCCGCCTCCTCCTCGCCCTCACTCCTCCGCCACATTCACTGGCTGGAGCCGAGGCGTCCCACACAATGGAATAATCAATACCCAGGCGCCCGGGGAGGCCCCACTGAGCAGGTGCAGCGGCCCGCCCGCCGCGGTGGATGACGGGAGTGGTAGTCCTTCGGCTTCGGCCCCGGCCCCGCCTGCCAGTCCCTAAGCGTCCTGTCCGCCTGCGGACCCAAGACCAGTGAACTGTTGGGCCCATGCGCTGGCCACCTGCTGGACTCCGGCGCCAGGCCCAAACAAGTGCCTGCAGAGAGAACAGGTGCCTTTAAACTCTTCCCCTTCTTCTCGTTCGCCTGCCTACAGAAACCATACGCCTGCTTGTTGAGCTTTTATTTTATATCAGCTCTAGAGCAAGCCCTGGCTTCTACCAGCTTCCCAGAGCCGCCCTTGGCTTCTTTTTTCACAAACTTCTTCCTGCCTTATTAGTCCTCCTCTTCCTTTCCAGTTGGGTGCTAGAACCTTCTTTCCGACAGCAATTACCCCAAAGTCTCAGAGCTTCTGTCTCCTCCATGCGGTCGCATAATCCCCAGAGTTGGGTGGGGGAAGGGGAGATTCTAGCTTATGGTCCTCATCTTTAGTTTATCAGCTCATAAACTCTCCTGTATTCTAGTAACAGTAATTGCTAAGGTTTATTGAGTGCCCAGGGACAGTTCCAAGCACTTTTACGTGCGTTATTTAATCTTTATAACTAGTCCCATTTACAGTTGAGGAAACCAGGGCACAAACATGTTAATTAACTGGCACAATGTCACAGGGTCAGTAAGTGATAGAGCTAGGGTTCAAAACAAACCTCAATGGTCTGGCTCCAAAGCCCACACTGCTGCTATAGCTTCTTTAAAAAAAAAAAAAAGAAGAAAGAAAAGAAAAAACACGAATTCACAGGGAAAAAAGGAAAAAGAAACTAATACTTGGAATATTATGTGAGTTTGTCATTGAATTCTTATGCATAACTGTGAAGCAGTCCACACTTTACCAATGAAAAAAATGGGTTTAGGAAGGCAGAGTAGCTTGCCCAAAGCCAAATACCTGGAAAGTGAAGCTGGGAGTTAACCCCATGTCCGTCTGGCTCCTCAGTCTAATCTTTCCTTTCCATTAAGCTGCTACCTCTGTACCACTGAATTGGACCTTAAAACTTAGGGAAAAGATTTGGTCTTCTCCCCAGGGAACAAAAATGAAAAACAAAGTATGGATGAAAAGTAGGCCATTGAGAGGAGCTAGGGGCTGGGGTCTCTTCCTTCCCTTAACTATTGGTGTTTATTATAGTGTGGGGGCAGAGATGTGTTCATCCCTTGGGAAGGAATTGGTTCAAAGACACAGGGAATTCAGAGTGAAAACAAAGTCAAGAAAGCAAAGTAAGTTTTATTATACCCTGTAAAAGAGTAACAGGGTGGGCCTGCCCAAGCTCTGACAGGTAGGCTACTAAAGAGTATGACTGTGCAGTTGCAGTCCTGTCTGGGTCACCCAGGTGAAGGGAACTTGCAAGCCCAAATCAGAGATCTCAGTAGTCTCTCTCTGCTTATCTGAAGTAGGACAGAGAGGGTGAAGACTTGTGCTTAAGTCTAGAAGATACAATGAAATGAAGTAACAAAGATGCTTACCACTGGAAGAGCACAGAGACAAAAAATAAGTTGAGCAGTAAGAAGTCTTTATTTTAAAGCAAAAAGTACACACTCGAAGAAAGGGGAATGTGGGCAACCTCAGGAGGCACACTTAAGGGTTTAGGGTTTTGGGTTTTATAGGGCCTTTTGAGTAAGGATCAGCATAAGACATGATGTATATGAGTGATTCATAATTCCTTTGAAGTTTGTCCTAAGAACAGGGTTATTTAGGTGACTATGTTGGTTCAGATTTGGCATGCTTTATCTATCTGTCCTGGTTACAAAGTTACTTAATTAAGGGGCGGGAAGAAGAGGAAGAACAGCAAATAGATTAAGTTAAAGAATAAACTGGGCTTTTTTCTCAGACTAAGTAGATTTTATAATGACGTGACCCTTGTCCTATTTCTCTGCCCTACCTCATGAGGTAGGGAGAGAAGTCCTTGATTGACAATCTTTGGTCTTAGAGGCCTGATCTAATTGGTACAATGAAGGCATGGGCTGTGCTCTGATGTTTCTCTTTATCTGGAAAATTGTTTTTTATCTGGGGAATATCTGGACAGTCCAAGTCACTCCTGGCCTTTGAAACTTAAACTAATTAATTAAGTCTGTGAGTCTGTCTGGCTCTCTGGTTTTATCTGGTTAACTCTTTGAGTCCCTTTTAGTGGGCTTTACTGACTTTATTCTCTTCCACCCTGCTTATGTCTGTCTGTCTCTGCCTAAAAATCCCAAACTCAAGATGGCATGTCTGTAAACCAGTGTGCTCCCCACAATACTTCCCAAAGCAGTCAAAGAGTCACCCCCATGTCTTCTTGTGTTTTAAATGAACTTGAGTTTTTTCCTAGAGTCCCTTGGAAACTCAGTGACAGATTCCTCAGTCTGGCATTCAAGGCATTTTCCAACCTACTCTTCAACATTATTATTTCTAGTCTCAACTCCTTCTCCTTACATTCTGGCCAGGTGCTCTCCAGCTTCTGGGCCTTTGTTTATGCTGTTCCAGTCTCCATCTAGATCTCCAGCTGTTGAAATCCCATCATGTCTTTAGTTCCCACCCAATATAATACTTCCTCCTCTGACAGAAAGCTTCCTACCCACCCCTATTCTGAATATGCAGGCCAGGACATGTTTGTCTCCTCTAAAACTCCAGAGTAACTAAACTGGTCTTAGTTATCCTTCTTTTCAGCCCATTGCCACTGGGGCCTGCACTTACTGGGCAGCCATAATAATTAATAAAATATCTGCTGGACAGTGTCTGAGTGAATGGATTGTATTCCAGGCCCATATGCTACTAAAGGCTTTATCAAATAGTTTCTTTTTACACTAGCTACTACCCCAAAGTGAGGGGTTTGGAAAGTGGATTGGGGCCTCAGCTCCTTCCATCTTACTCTCCCCACTCAACTTTGGTAGAGTCCTTTTGGCACTGAGCGCAGCTGTCCTGTCACCATAGCGACGGTGGGGCAAGAAAGCAAAGTCTCCCTTTGGAACTACATCTCCCATCATGCACCCAGGCCCCAGGGTGCCCGGCCCAGCCTGAGGCCTGAGACCCCGGCTGACCCCAGGGACCCGGGAGGCGTCCAGGATGAGGAGCTGAGCGCTGGTGAACGGCTGCGCTCCCGGCCCACCGCGGAGGTCCCGGCCCCTAATAACCTAGCAGCCTCTCGGCCCCGGCCTGCCTTCGGCACCTACACATCGGGCCTAATATGGCCGCTAGTGCTGGGACCGGTGGGGTGCGCAGAGGCCGGGTTAAGGTCGGGGGCCAGGGACTGTTCCCGGCATTCCTCACGGGCGTAGCGTGGGCTCCCTTTCCCCATCTCCAGACCCCACGCGAGGGACACCCTCGGGCTTTGAGGTGAGACCTGAGGCTGGCCGGGGCTGTGGCGGGGGAGGGTGGGGTCATCCTGGGTATCCGTGAGCCACTTGCCTCCGGCCTGGAAACTGTAGAGGTGGAACATTGAGAGGAGGGCACCTGCTACATGGCTTGCTTCCTAGGGGCGCTTTGGATTGAGGGCATCGTTAGCAGTGGAAGGGATTTCACTGGGGAACTGGTATTGTTGCAGAACCAGAAAACATCAGAGACAGGCCATCCATCACTGAGGCAGGAAGAAAGAGCTGAAGCCCCCAACATCGAACCCTCATAAATTCTTCAGGGCGATCTTTACTAGACTGTCACCCTGCAAGGCTGAGCCTCACCCTTGGGAGTTCAGCAAATGTTTGTTGATTGACTGATTGCAGGTAGCATGGCTCAGAGCTTGATTGAGGTGGAGCGCAAGTTCATTCCTCGGCCTGGCACAGAGGAGCGTCTGCAGGAGTTGGGGGCTACCCTGGAGCACCTGGTCACCTTCCAAGACAGCTACTATGACACCCCTGAGCTGAGCCTCATGCAAGCTGACCACTGGCTGCGACAGCGAGAAAGTAGTGGATGGGAGCTCAAATGCCCTGGAGCAGCAGGTGTCTCAGGACCCCACACTGAGTATATGGAACTCACAGCTGAGCCTGCAATTGTGGCCCAGCTCTGTGAGGTCCTGGGGGCTGAGGTTCTGGGGACTGGAGGTGTGGCCGCTGTGCTGGGCCCACTGGGGCTGCACGAAGTAGCTAGTTTCGTGACTCAACGTAGAGCCTGGAAGCTTGTGCTACCTGGAGCTGATAAAGAGGAACAGCTGCTCAGGGTAGACCTGGACATAGCTGACTTTGGTTACACTGTGGGTGAGGTAGAGGCCATGGTGCACGAGGAGGCTGAAGTCCCAGCTGCGCTAGAGAAGATCTACAGCCTCAGCAACATGCTTGGTGAGGAAGACAGGCCCATTTGTGTTTTCCCAGTTCCTCTTCCAGATATACCCACTGGGCCAGTTAGTGAGGAGGGTCTTAGGGTTATTTCTCTAATGGGAATTGTTTTAGTTTTCTAAAGAACCCAGTTTGCTTAGGCTTTATCAAATAGTTTCTTTTTACAGTAGCCGACTAACCTGAATTTAATCCTTACATGTGTCTCTAGTTTGTGTTATTTGGTTTTCATACCTCTAGCCATGTCAACTTTCCTTCAATTCCTTGCTGGTTTTTTGCTTCAGTCCTTCAACCCACCCTTCCTGACCCCAATTCCCATCCTCTCATTTTCACAACCACCTAGATCCTCATTTAATTTGTCCCATTGGCTGTGAGTAAAAGACCAGAGCGTTCTATGTATGTGATGGCAGGGCCAGCATTGGAGATGATTTTCCTGTTCCCAGGCTCAGCTCCCCTGTAGGCAGGTCATCCACATGAGTGTGGGGTTGTGCACCACAGGGCCTCACAGCCGTGGGGTCCTATTGCCTCCTCTGCAAACATCCACTGAATTCCTTGCTGTATGCTCAGCATGCTGCCAGGCACTAACAGTAAGCCACCGACTTATCATGGTTCCCTATCACACAGAGGCTGGAATTTGTCAATCCCACCCCATGGTTGTAGCTGCTTCCCTTTTACATCCCTTGGTGTCTTTACGTATGTCTCTGCACGTGCTTCATTACTAACCTAATGAGCTTTGTCTTGCCTAGATAGGCTTTAATCTGGATTGGGGGACATGAGCAGTGACTAAAAAGAATTGATACTGAGGCACCCTGTCTTCCCAGCCCCCCTCCTGCCTGAAGTGGCCCTTTTACACCCCACTGCACAGGCTTCTCAGGAAGTGGGCTAGTGGGTTATAGAAGCTGGCTGTACAGCACAGAATCCCAGGGCTGTCTTGGAAACAACTGAGCTCCAGCTGCATGAGCAGGAGTCTAAGCACTCACGGCTCTGTCTGGTTCTCTCCTCATCCTCCTTTTGCCTGTAGGTGTGTCGGTGCAAGAGAAGGCGCCTGCCAAGCTGATAGTGTACCTCCAGCGCTTCCGGCCTCAGGACTGTCAGCGCCTGCTAGAAGTGCACAGCTCCAGAGAGAAGCCACAGGGGACTGATGATCCTGACAGTATCTTGGGCTAGGGTGTCACTTCCTCAGTGGGGAAGAGAGCTCTGGGTCTGACCAGGTTCATTCCTGGGCTCGCTGTGCCACTTTCCCTGGTTTCCTTTCCCACAGTGACTCCTCTCCAGCCTTCTATTCCTTCACCCTACCCACAGCTATCTTTCCTCCAGCCCTCCCAGACTGCCTCCTCTCCCTCATCCATCAGATGCAATCTGTGGGCCGCCCCTCTCCCCTGGCCGCTAAGCAGCCTCCATTGATTTCCGCTCGTGTTTATAGGATTTCCACTTAGCTGTGATCAGTAGTTAAGCACAGGAAAATCCCCTGCCACCCCCTCCCTTGGTCGATGCCATTGATTCTGCCAGCGGCTCCTAAACTGCCTTACAGCTGAGTTAGAGATGAGGGGAGGTAGCAGGGATTTCCCTGCCTTGGGGTATGGAGAACAGCAGCAGGTTGGGTAAATGGGTGGGAATCCGTGTTAGAAATCCAGAAATCCTGGTTTAATTTTGCATCTATGCCAGGCTCTGGCCAAGAAGGCAGAGTGCCCCTAGTGGAGGTTTAGGGGCAGATTTGCTCCCCAACCTGAAAAGAGGCAGAAAGAAAACCTTTGTTGAAACAGGATCCTAAGGCTCAGGGGAAGATAAGTATTTCCTAAGAAGTCGGTTTCTTTGCTGTTATTCATAGATGTTTTCTGCCTCAAATATGCCCAAATAAGGCTATTCCTCCTCAGGCTTTATTGGGCTTTTCTCATTTGTGGCAATGGGGAGGGGGGCAGGCCCCCCCGGCAGTTTCTGCAGTGGCAAGCACAGGAACAGAGCGCTGGTGGTCCTCTGGTGTAGGTAGGCTCCAAGGTGCTGGGACCTCCTGTGGTGTTGGAGCCACAGGAGAATTTCAGGCTGTGAGTGGAGGCTGCCTTACTGCCATGTCTCCATAGGCAAGTTGTTCACCTCAAAGATCTCCTGCACCAACTGGCCAAAGTGGTTGTAGGTGAGGCGCAGCTTTAGCCGTAAAGTGGCCTAGAAATGGGAGACAGAGACCAGGGTTAGCACCTCTGACATCTGTCCCTGGATCTTATCCATAGGGTGCTTTTTAGCTCACCTTGTTAGGATTGTGGATTTGGAGGAGCTGGGTCATCGGAAGGCCACTCTGAGCTGGAACTGTGTCCCCACTGGGGGCCTGTAGCTGCAGCTGGAAACTCTGAAGATAGGAGGTTGGGGCAGAGCACAGTAAGGCAGCAAGCTGGGCTCAGGCAACCCCTCTACACTCAGTGGTCTTAAATTCTTCCCAGAACTCCCCAAGTACTTGTCTCTGCATGTCACTCCCTTCCCTACCCAGTTTCTCTATTAGTGGCTTTTTCTCCCAGAGTGCCCTGGCCATTACTGAGTGCTGGTCTTCCACAAACCTTGGGCACAGCAGCCTGGCAGATGAAGTGGGTGACATCACCCCTTGAGGTGTTGGTAGCAGTGACAGTGATTAAGAGCACAGCAGGGGTTTCAGGGGGTCGAACAAAAGACAGATTCAGCTGGAGTCCTTCGCGCTCAAACACTTTGAGATTTGGGATGGGAGCTAGAGTAGGGAGAGAGAAGCAGCTCAGTGTACAGGCTGAAGATAATGAGTTCATGTATTCATTCAGCAACAATTAGGTGAGTGCCCACTGGGTGCAGGGCACTGCTTGAGATGCTGCTGACAAAGTGGACAAGAACATAAGTCCCTGTTGGAGCTTATAGTCTAATGGAGGGATAGAAACAATAAACAAGAAAACAACCAATATAATCACAGGCTATAATTGGTGCCATGAAAGAAATAAACCATGCCAGAATAACTTGGAGGAACGAACTTAAAAAGAAGTGGTGAGGGAAGCATCTGACATTTTCGCTGGGGCCTGAAGAGAATGAGCTGGTGATTTGTGCTGAAGAAAGCACATTCTATGTAAAAGAAGCACGAACTGCCAAGGGCTGGAGGAGAGAGGGTCTGAGGAGCTGAGGTGCCAGAGGTGTGTGTAGTGCTAAGTATATGAGATGGGCTTGGGGGGGCGCAGGCCCTACAGGCCATTAACAAGTACTGAACAAAAGGAAGACATTGAGTGGTGTATAGAAGGGGGCCGGGCACAAGCCGATGAACCCTTCTACCTGCCAAGATGCGGGTGTGATGGGGACACACGGCAGGGAAGAGGGTGCATGGCCCTTAGTCCTTAGGCTAAGAAGCATCATCACATTTCCGCCCCCCAACCCCTCAAGACATCTGCCTTCTTTCCCCTGCTAAGGCCTACCAGGGGGTGGAGGAGCCCAGGGAAGGTCCAGGAGGTGTCCTAAAGCGCTGCCTGGGGAGGGATCTGGAGCGAGGGGATGCTGGGCAGCCCCACATGGGCCATCCAGAAGGTCTAACAGATCCAAGAGCTGGGAAGCCTGGGGGAAAGGGCAACAGGGTCAGGGCTGTGTGGAAGCCCAAGTCCTCTTCCCTCTGTGGCTTCTGGCCTCCTCACCTGGGGCTCTGTGGGAACAGGGGTTGCTTCTGAAGGTCGGACTTCTTTGCTTTCCTTTGCTTCCTCATTAGCCCGAGGGCCACCTCGCTCTGCAAGAGGCATTTTTTCCAGCACAGCAGCCCTGGGAGAATAGAATTAAGGTGTATCCCTCTTAGGCGGACCCTGGGCTTTTCACAAGAGGCATGTGGGGGGTGTAAGAACATGGTAGGTTGAAAGTGCCCCTCAGATTTCCTAGATGGCATAGTTACTGGTTTTCAGATGAGCGAGGGGACCTGGAAGCCAGCTTAGCTTCAATGAACTGTAGGTAGGAGGATGCCCCTATACTCAGAAAAGGACACTAGGAGAGACATCTAGGAAGAAGGCAGGGGCTTGGGTCCTATATCGCGGCAGAGTGTGGCTCGCACCTCATGTGGTCGTACTTCCGGAAGATCGTGTTATACTCTACGGCCCGCTGCTGCAGCTCCAGGTCCATGCAGCTCCCATAGATGGACACCACCTGGCGGATGCGGCTGGGCCACAGGGTTGGGTTTGAGTAGGACTGGCCATCTGCCATCACCCTTCAACTCTCGGATGGGGCAGGGAAGGGGGAGGCCCCACAAGACAGGGAGATACCCATGACACTTAGCTCAAAAGGAGAAACCTGAGGACTGGAGTTTTGGGTGTGTGCCTACAGAGAAACTGGTGGGCATAGTAAAGAGATGTCTCACTGGATGCACCAAGAGGGTCTCTGGGAAGGGCTGGGAGCCCTTACTTGCTGTCCCCACGGAGCCGGGTGCTGAGCTTCATGAGGGCTGTGAGGGCATATCCTCGGGTGGCTGGCAGGGACATGTGGGACTGCAGTACCCTCTCCAGCAGGGCTAGCACCTCTTCTTCCTCCACCTTTAGGAGGGGTGGGGAGAGGGTGACACACAGGTGGTTAACCTAGGGCCAGCTCTGCCAAGTCCCTTCTCAGTGTACCCCCAAAGCAGGTCCCACCTGAAGAGGCTCCATTTCCTCACAGCTACCCTCCAGTAGGAGGTCCCCGAACTCCCCGATGCACCAGGCTGCCACTTGCACCAGTGGTTGCTGCATGGAGTAAGAAAAGTGTGGGCCAGTATCTGGGTCCCCTCACTTCCAGACCCTGATACATCCAGTAAGGTGGTGCACAGAACGGTAGGGTTTGGAAGGGTAGGGAAAGGGAAGGGCCTTGGCACCAGAGCAGTTAGGTTAGCGTTTGTTTTCCAGCTGTCCTGGCTCCTGGGCTTCCTCTGCCCTCTGGTGGCCAAGCTTCTGAACTACATGGCCCGACCACAAGGGGTGCAGCAAGGACGGAGGCTCCCTCCCTTGGGAAGGGATGGTGTGTCTAAGCACCCTACTTAAGTAATGTGGTAACGGGGCTACAGATACTGGCTGACATCTGTTAAGTCATTCAGCATTCAAAATAGTAGTAAAACCTAAGACATGCAGAAAGAACTTTCATCTATTTCATTTGGTCCTCAACACAGCTCTGTGAAGATAGGGTAGAAAGCTGAGTATGCTGGGCATGAAGAAAAGTAAACAAGTCATGTGTGTCACACAGCCAGTAAGTACCAAGCTGGGACAGAAGTCCAGGTGTTCTAATTAAAAGGGCTCTGACCTTGAGTGTTTCCTCCATTAAGTAGGTAACTGAGCTTCAAGGAAAACCAGACAGGAGTCAAGTGTAGGGAGAAGGTAGCCCAGGAAGGTGGGGAGGGCAGTCTGGGTTGTGGGAAAGCACCTGGGAGATGTCCTCTGCCAGGGCGCTGTAGAGGCAGCGCACAGAGTAGGCATGTAGCTCCTGGGCACCACTGATCAGCTGAGTCAGGTTGGCCACCGCGTCATCCCGCACGTGGGTGCCCGCCTGGAGATGGTGGTGCAGCCACATCAGTGTGGTGAGTGCTGTCCACTCCCACCCAGCTCTCAGACCAGTCCCTGCCTCACCGTTGTCAGCACGCGCAGGATAGTGTCTATGTGCCACCGCCTGGTTGGGGCAAACCTAAGGGACATGGGGCTCTTCAGCCCTGGTGCTGACCTTCCCCAGATTCTACCCTCTGTCTCCTGGGCACCTGTCACCTCACCTCTCTGCTGCCAACAGGATGCCTGAGGCACAGTCAGCCCGCAGATCAGCAGGGCAGGACTCCAGAAAGCCCTGCAGCTCGTGTGTCATGGCTCGCACGTTGGAGCTATTCACCAGAGCCAAGCTGAGTTCCAGGGCTCGCCTGGCAGCAGAAAGAAGTGTGTCTACACAATGTCCAGGTCACCCTGAGACATGCCTTAGGCCCTCTCATTGCCCAGGCACCTGTCTCCTTAGGCCCCTCACACCAGCTGCTCTGAGCTGGTCTGGGTCTTGGCCACCATGTGCTGAGCCCTCCATCCTGCTCACCGGCTGAGGGAGACATCAGGTTCCCGCAGACATTCTATCACGGTGGGCCGGTGCCGCTGGACAGCACTGTGGTCAGACTGCACCAGCCGCAGCAATGATGTCAGGGCTACGTACCTGGCCATAGTGGGAGAGGCCTGCTCATGCCATGGCCATCAGCCCCCTCCCTGCCCTGTCCTGCCTTGGGTCATGGGATAAGAGGTAGGTGAGTCAGGAGACTCTGAAAGAGGGAAGGCACAGGGCCAGGGGCTCAGAGGCACAGCCCAGCCAGACACCTGAGACTGTTACCTAATGTTCTTGTCACTGTTGAGCAGGAAGCGGCCAAGAATGTTGACAGCTAGAACCTATGGAAGGCAGAGGTTGGGGACAGTCAGGGAAGGAGCAACCTGCTCATTCAGGAATAGGGACTGCATGGAGCAGGAGGATGAGGTGGGAGGAGAAACTCGGCAACAGGGCCTGTCTGCCTGGCTGGGGTTGTGAGTGGGCCACAGTGAGCGAGGCATATGGGAGGGTACCCGCAGGCCAGCAGCAGAGCGGATATCCATGATGGTGTGGACTGTCTCAAACAGGACCGCATTGCCTGCGTTTCGGCTGGTGTCTGTGTTAGTGGCCACCTGAATAGGTTTGAGAGAAGATACATCTGTAAGGGTTCTGTCCTCTTCTCAGGTATCTCGAAGGTCTCCACCAGGTCATCCCTCAACCATCTAATGACATTCCCTGAGTTCTTACGTATGTCAGGGGCTACCACACTGAGACTGTGTTCGTCTTCCGAAGATGAGAGTCTACACGGCCACAGCAATTTTAAGTAATCGTGTGAGGGATGCCCAGGGATTACAAAGCAACACACCTAGCCAGAGACCCCTGCCCAGTTCCCCACCTGGGCCAGCAAGTCATTCATGATTTCACTGCTCTCCTCATGGTTCCGGCCCAGAATTCGAAGCAGACGAAGGATCTGGACCTGAGTTTGTGTTGAAGGTGGAAAGGTGGAGAGGTTCAGAGGGTAAGGAGTCACAGTGCTGAGGAGGTGAGTCCAGCATCGAGGAGAGCATTGGGAGGGGTCCGGCTGGTTCCAGAGAGCCTCCCTACCCCTTCCCCACAGGTCCCTTGGCCCCCATGAGGGCATCGGAGGTATGTGAGGCCAGGGGATTTGGGGACAGGCTTTTTCTTGTTGTTACCAAACCGGATTTTCTGACCTTCAGGCATTAGTTCCCTGCACTGGTTCGATGACCTAGGCAGTCCTGTGTCTGCCACCCTCCTGCTCAAGACACTGAGTGAGCCAAAGTGTTCTCTGGGTGACCACTGGCCATGGGCTCACTGCTAAGATTTGTTCTGGGGATGTAACAGGGAAGGGTGAACCTACCTGCAGGAAGGGGTCGCTGACTCCAGATATGCTATGCTCTGGGGAGTATCCTGTCATCAACAGAGTCTGGAGGATCTGCACCAGTTGGGGTACCACCTGGAGGGAGGATACAGCCTTGTCTGGGCATTCTCCATAATGCTCTGCAGTTTCTGCCCCATTCCAACCCCACTGCCCCTTTTCCTGGCCCACGGCCTGCCCCTTCACCCACCTTTCGAAAGTGCTTGAGGGCTGCAGGACTTCGTTCACAGAGCTCTGTGATCAATGTGATGGTGCCCAGCAGGATGCCTGGGGTGAAGGTTGGGGAAGTAAACGATGGGCCATGGACACAGAGCCTATTGCCTGTGTGTGACTGTGTGCACAAGCTATTCTCCTATGTACTGGTGTCCCCATTTTTCACTTGTGTCCGTAGCAAGAGCTGAGGCCAGGGATGGGGAGCTCTGTGGCCTTACCATGGTGGCGTTCATGAAGCAGGTGGACACAGGGTGGGAGGAAGATGTTGGAGAGCTCAGGGACCTTCCGGATCATGTGCACTGCAGTCAGAACAGCCTGCAGGGGTCAGGGGGCTCAGATAGGGCAGGGGTGTGCCAGAACATGACACCCCCCACCTCCACCACATGGTAAACAAGGGACAGTTTCTGGAGGGGCAAGTGCCTAGTGTCCTGCCTCTCACCTTCTTGCGTACATAGGGGCTGGGCTGCAAAAGCAGTTTCTCCACCTCAGTGGCCAGGTCCCGGCACATCTCAGCAGAGCCCATGGCGCTCAGAGTGCATAGGGCCAGGCCTTGAACTGCCTGAATCCCTTGGTTCAGGTCACTGCAGAGTTGGGAGGGTGGTCAGTCAAGCCTCTGAGAAATCCAGATCTTCCCAGTGCCTCATAGCAGGCAGCCCCCTGGGATTTCCCAGTGTCCCACTCTCCCATCTCCCTGATTCCAAGTGCTTCCTGGAACTCTCTCACTTCTTGATGCTGTTGGTAATGAGCAGGTGGGCATCCTGCCTCTCATCCAGTAGAAGCATGGCACCCAGGTAGCCCACCCTCTTGTCTGTGAATCTGGGGGAGCCGATCAGTTTCAGGCACTCCATCTATAGAAAAGGGGGCAGACCAGGAAGGGGCAGGGGTGAAACCGAGGCACAAACACCCCTTTTCTATCTTCCTTCTTAACACCAGATTAACTTGTGGTGGCACCATATCCTATCACCCTTCCTTCAACAAGAGGCGAAGCTCAAGAGACTCAAAGTGGGTAGTTTCGAGGAACTAAGAGTAAGTAGGAGGATGGGAGAGGAAAGGAGATGCCTTGAATGGGAGTAGCCGGAGAATGAAGGGTTCAGTCCTGCTGATAACCTATAGCAATTGTAAAAGGAAAGGAGGTCAGTGGTGCATGCTGAGGGCGGTCTCAGAAATCCCATATAATAAAAACATTAAGGGCGTAAATAGGTGAAGGCGTCCGAGGCCTATGGAGGAATCCCTGCCCAGTACCTGTCCAAAGTGGGCGGGGTAGCCCAACATGTGGACGTAGAGCAGTTTGGCCAGCTGGCGGTGCCTGTACAGAGGATCCCCATGGCGGAAGGAGGCTCGGATGTGGGCACACTCCTTTTGGATCACCTCCCTCTCCTGGGCCTGGGTCTTGGCCCCACGAATCTCCTCGATTAGATCTTGAAGCTTCAGTGAAGGTGTCACCATTCTGAGGGGGGAGGGTCAGAGCCCGGAAATGGAGAGGGTTTTAACCCTCTCTGGCCGGGAATGCTGGCCTTTCTGCTCAGGATTGCCCTATGTTAAGATTCCGAGGGCCCGAGTCCCACAGCTATCCTAAAGCTGGGGCATTTACCTGTACTCCCCCTGCGTTTCTCCCAGTTTCGCCCCCACCTCGCCGCAGGAGATCACCACTACGCGTGCGTCACCACCCCACCTCGCGCCCTTTCCTACTGAGCATGCGCCAGGACCCCGCCCATTTTTCTCCCCCACCCTGGTTTCCCATCCCTAGCTAGATTCCTTTCCTTCCTGAGCCCTGCGATATGTCTCCCATGGGATTCCAGCCCCCTTTCATATCCCAGGCGGCCTCAGCTTCCCCACACCAGGACGCCAGCCTCACCTGGCTTGTGCTTCAACTCGGCTCTTCTCCCCCTAGCGCTTCCTGGTACGGGGCTGACGGGGGTTGGTGCTCGGTCCGGTCCTCCCCTCTCCCCGCCTCCACCACGGGACCCCGCCCCTCCTGGGCCGCTCTGCTTAGCTGCCTGGAATCCGCGGACCTCAGGTCTCCGTATTTGGAGGATGCGGGGGGATGGAGCTCTTACCCGCACAGGAGCGGCGAGACTGTGTAACAGGCTTGGGGCTCCTCACGGGCTCTTCGTACATTCTTACCACCCGAAGACCCTCAGCTGTGTTTGAAGCCATCGCACCCCAAAGGAGATGACAGTCCCCCGCTTTTTTGAACTTTTTTATTAATATATTTTTTGTTAAATTTCTTTGTATTTTTTTTTTTCCTGCAAGACGTGGTGTTGGCGGCACTGTTGTAGTTTAACTTCAATCCCAAATTCCATGAAGTAGAAATCAGAAGTAAAGGTTGAGAGGAGAGGAAGGAGGGGAGACAGGCCAGGGAGTAAACAGTTTGACTAGAAAAAAGAAGAGGGTGTGTGTGGTGGGCATTCCCAGGCAAGGCCATTCCTTGAGGCAGGGGGTTGGAAGGCAGCTTGCACTGCCTCATGCAGGGGAGGGAGAAAAGATCCCCTGGGGACCCTACAGTCCTCTCTTACTAGGGCTTCCCCAGGGGAAAGCTATCACCAGGCATCAGCCACAACCTCAAACAGGGCTCTCTGTCACCTCTCACCCTGGTTTGACTCCCACCTCTACCCTGCCTGGAAAGTATGTGAGATTGGCTTCCTTTGATCCCCTCTTTCTGTTGTTTTCCCATTTCACAAGATTCTGATGTGATGGGGGAAGGGATATAACCCATTTAGCTTTTTTCTCCTGTGGTTCCATTCTCCAGAATGGAACTGTGCCTCCCCACACCACAACTGCTGGAGCTGGGAAGTGGGGTCCTTGCTCAAGTGCCTCTAATCCTCTGCAGTAGAAATGTCTTCTCCAGGCCCCTTAGAAATTCAATCAAAGGCCACAAGTGAGTCTAGACCAACCAAATAAACTTTTAGGGGGAGAGAGAAGGGTTGGAGTGTCAGTGGGTGGATTTGGCTACACTGTACATTTTCTTTCCTTTACACATTGCTCTTGACATGGCATGCCACCCTGGGGGGCTGGATGAGGGGCTGGCTGTTGAGGAAAGTGATAGATGGTGGGGAGTCATTCTACTTTTCTTTTCCCTTAGCTCCTTCAGGGAAGGATGGAGTTAGGCAAAACCTGGCTCAGTGCTTGGAGGTGACACAGGTTCTCCAAAGTCAGAGATGGAGGCTGCACCTCCTCTGGCTTTTTCCCTAGGCCTCAGATGGACAACAGGCCCTTTGAGCCAGTAGCTTGCCCTGCATACAGTCTCCCCTTCTTCATTTTCTCTCTTTCTACTCAGCTTCCAGGAGACTCCTCAGGACACCAAATCCCCAAACTCATAAAAGTTAGGTCTAAAGAAAAGGCGGGGAGGGTGTGGGGCAAAGGTATGACTTAGATTTGTGTGTCTCAGAGAAGAGAGCAACTCTGAGTGAGAAAAGCCCTTCATATGTAAACAATCTAGAGAGAAAGAGAGAGAGAGAGAAAGGGAAGGGGGACAGGAGAAGGGAGTTAGGAAGACAGAAACAGATCCAGAATAAATGAGAGAATCTGAAAGGACAGAGGGAACGAAAAAGCAAGAGACAAAAACAAAGAGAGACAAAAGAAAGGGTGAAAGGGAAGAAAGATAGGAGGAGGAACAATCAGAAGGGGGAAAAGAGAAAAAGGCAGGCCAAGGACATGTTGAGGCAGCAACTGAAGCCAGAACTCGGCCAGGCAGGAGCCTCAGGTGAGGAGCTGGGAGAACAGGAATGCCAGGCTAAGGTCCAGGAGAGCCACGGCTCCCACCACCAGGGGGTTGGCAGCTCCCTAGAGAGATAGAGGAAATGAAATGCAGTCTTAATCCCTGAGGACCAGGTTCAGTGGCAGGTCCTACCTTCCTCGCCTGGCTAAGGTGGCAAAGCCAAAGGGTCCCAGGCACCTCTTTTCAAAGGCCAGGGCAGGGAATCTCCAGTCTTTGTTTTAGATTGCACAGCACCCTTCTTCTCCCAGGTCGGGTCCCTCTTTCCCTCTGCCTCCCTCAAGTCGGGAACAGCACTTCCTCCCTCCTGCTTCCACTCTCTTCCCACCAGCATGTCACGTGGCCCAGGCAGAAGGTGCCTGGCCTTAGCAGACGACTTGGCAGCAGTAGCTGGTACTGCAGTAAAGCAGAGAGGGATGAGAGGGTGAGGATGTGGTTGCTAGGAAACAAGAGAAGGCCTGGAGTCCAATCAGAGTAGAATGGTTCTGGGGAATCTCCGCCCCTCCTGCCTTCTTTCCCATTTCCCTTCTTCCCAAGAGAGGGAGGGAGAGTCAGAGTAGGGAGGGAACAAGCTTTTCCCTTTTTATTTCTGGGCACCAAAGAGAGAAAGTGTGGAGGTGGGATGGGGGTAGAGTAGGAAACTGGAAGTTGGAAATGATATGGAAAAAGAGCAGGCAAAATGTTCTGGCTTTACCGTTAATTATTAGTTTTGTAACCTTGGGCTAGTTTAAGTGCTCTGAGCCTCAGCTCCTCCATCTGCCAACAGAGGGAGTTGGACATGAGGGTCATTAAGGTTCCTTCTAGCTTGCAAGTTCTCAATTTTTTTTGAGATGGGGTATGATCCAATAGAGGCAGTCATAGAGGAAGTTGAGTCCAAATCAAAGCCCCTCAGAGGATCAGAAAGAGGTCTGCAAAGGATGAGAGGNCTACGGCCCGCTGCTGCAGCTCCAGGTCCATGCAGCTCCCATAGATGGACACCACCTGGCGGATGCGGCTGGGCCACAGGGTTGGGTTTGAGTAGGACTGGCCATCTGCCATCACCCTTCAACTCTCGGATGGGGCAGGGAAGGGGGAGGCCCCACAAGACAGGGAGATACCCATGACACTTAGCTCAAAAGGAGAAACCTGAGGACTGGAGTTTTGGGTGTGTGCCTACAGAGAAACTGGTGGGCATAGTAAAGAGATGTCTCACTGGATGCACCAAGAGGGTCTCTGGGAAGGGCTGGGAGCCCTTACTTGCTGTCCCCACGGAGCCGGGTGCTGAGCTTCATGAGGGCTGTGAGGGCATATCCTCGGGTGGCTGGCAGGGACATGTGGGACTGCAGTACCCTCTCCAGCAGGGCTAGCACCTCTTCTTCCTCCACCTTTAGGAGGGGTGGGGAGAGGGTGACACACAGGTGGTTAACCTAGGGCCAGCTCTGCCAAGTCCCTTCTCAGTGTACCCCCAAAGCAGGTCCCACCTGAAGAGGCTCCATTTCCTCACAGCTACCCTCCAGTAGGAGGTCCCCGAACTCCCCGATGCACCAGGCTGCCACTTGCACCAGTGGTTGCTGCATGGAGTAAGAAAAGTGTGGGCCAGTATCTGGGTCCCCTCACTTCCAGACCCTGATACATCCAGTAAGGTGGTGCACAGAACGGTAGGGTTTGGAAGGGTAGGGAAAGGGAAGGGCCTTGGCACCAGAGCAGTTAGGTTAGCGTTTGTTTTCCAGCTGTCCTGGCTCCTGGGCTTCCTCTGCCCTCTGGTGGCCAAGCTTCTGAACTACATGGCCCGACCACAAGGGGTGCAGCAAGGACGGAGGCTCCCTCCCTTGGGAAGGGATGGTGTGTCTAAGCACCCTACTTAAGTAATGTGGTAACGGGGCTACAGATACTGGCTGACATCTGTTAAGTCATTCAGCATTCAAAATAGTAGTAAAACCTAAGACATGCAGAAAGAACTTTCATCTATTTCATTTGGTCCTCAACACAGCTCTGTGAAGATAGGGTAGAAAGCTGAGTATGCTGGGCATGAAGAAAAGTAAACAAGTCATGTGTGTCACACAGCCAGTAAGTACCAAGCTGGGACAGAAGTCCAGGTGTTCTAATTAAAAGGGCTCTGACCTTGAGTGTTTCCTCCATTAAGTAGGTAACTGAGCTTCAAGGAAAACCAGACAGGAGTCAAGTGTAGGGAGAAGGTAGCCCAGGAAGGTGGGGAGGGCAGTCTGGGTTGTGGGAAAGCACCTGGGAGATGTCCTCTGCCAGGGCGCTGTAGAGGCAGCGCACAGAGTAGGCATGTAGCTCCTGGGCACCACTGATCAGCTGAGTCAGGTTGGCCACCGCGTCATCCCGCACGTGGGTGCCCGCCTGGAGATGGTGGTGCAGCCACATCAGTGTGGTGAGTGCTGTCCACTCCCACCCAGCTCTCAGACCAGTCCCTGCCTCACCGTTGTCAGCACGCGCAGGATAGTGTCTATGTGCCACCGCCTGGTTGGGGCAAACCTAAGGGACATGGGGCTCTTCAGCCCTGGTGCTGACCTTCCCCAGATTCTACCCTCTGTCTCCTGGGCACCTGTCACCTCACCTCTCTGCTGCCAACAGGATGCCTGAGGCACAGTCAGCCCGCAGATCAGCAGGGCAGGACTCCAGAAAGCCCTGCAGCTCGTGTGTCATGGCTCGCACGTTGGAGCTATTCACCAGAGCCAAGCTGAGTTCCAGGGCTCGCCTGGCAGCAGAAAGAAGTGTGTCTACACAATGTCCAGGTCACCCTGAGACATGCCTTAGGCCCTCTCATTGCCCAGGCACCTGTCTCCTTAGGCCCCTCACACCAGCTGCTCTGAGCTGGTCTGGGTCTTGGCCACCATGTGCTGAGCCCTCCATCCTGCTCACCGGCTGAGGGAGACATCAGGTTCCCGCAGACATTCTATCACGGTGGGCCGGTGCCGCTGGACAGCACTGTGGTCAGACTGCACCAGCCGCAGCAATGATGTCAGGGCTACGTACCTGGCCATAGTGGGAGAGGCCTGCTCATGCCATGGCCATCAGCCCCCTCCCTGCCCTGTCCTGCCTTGGGTCATGGGATAAGAGGTAGGTGAGTCAGGAGACTCTGAAAGAGGGAAGGCACAGGGCCAGGGGCTCAGAGGCACAGCCCAGCCAGACACCTGAGACTGTTACCTAATGTTCTTGTCACTGTTGAGCAGGAAGCGGCCAAGAATGTTGACAGCTAGAACCTATGGAAGGCAGAGGTTGGGGACAGTCAGGGAAGGAGCAACCTGCTCATTCAGGAATAGGGACTGCATGGAGCAGGAGGATGAGGTGGGAGGAGAAACTCGGCAACAGGGCCTGTCTGCCTGGCTGGGGTTGTGAGTGGGCCACAGTGAGCGAGGCATATGGGAGGGTACCCGCAGGCCAGCAGCAGAGCGGATATCCATGATGGTGTGGACTGTCTCAAACAGGACCGCATTGCCTGCGTTTCGGCTGGTGTCTGTGTTAGTGGCCACCTGAATAGGTTTGAGAGAAGATACATCTGTAAGGGTTCTGTCCTCTTCTCAGGTATCTCGAAGGTCTCCACCAGGTCATCCCTCAACCATCTAATGACATTCCCTGAGTTCTTACGTATGTCAGGGGCTACCACACTGAGACTGTGTTCGTCTTCCGAAGATGAGAGTCTACACGGCCACAGCAATTTTAAGTAATCGTGTGAGGGATGCCCAGGGATTACAAAGCAACACACCTAGCCAGAGACCCCTGCCCAGTTCCCCACCTGGGCCAGCAAGTCATTCATGATTTCACTGCTCTCCTCATGGTTCCGGCCCAGAATTCGAAGCAGACGAAGGATCTGGACCTGAGTTTGTGTTGAAGGTGGAAAGGTGGAGAGGTTCAGAGGGTAAGGAGTCACAGTGCTGAGGAGGTGAGTCCAGCATCGAGGAGAGCATTGGGAGGGGTCCGGCTGGTTCCAGAGAGCCTCCCTACCCCTTCCCCACAGGTCCCTTGGCCCCCATGAGGGCATCGGAGGTATGTGAGGCCAGGGGATTTGGGGACAGGCTTTTTCTTGTTGTTACCAAACCGGATTTTCTGACCTTCAGGCATTAGTTCCCTGCACTGGTTCGATGACCTAGGCAGTCCTGTGTCTGCCACCCTCCTGCTCAAGACACTGAGTGAGCCAAAGTGTTCTCTGGGTGACCACTGGCCATGGGCTCACTGCTAAGATTTGTTCTGGGGATGTAACAGGGAAGGGTGAACCTACCTGCAGGAAGGGGTCGCTGACTCCAGATATGCTATGCTCTGGGGAGTATCCTGTCATCAACAGAGTCTGGAGGATCTGCACCAGTTGGGGTACCACCTGGAGGGAGGATACAGCCTTGTCTGGGCATTCTCCATAATGCTCTGCAGTTTCTGCCCCATTCCAACCCCACTGCCCCTTTTCCTGGCCCACGGCCTGCCCCTTCACCCACCTTTCGAAAGTGCTTGAGGGCTGCAGGACTTCGTTCACAGAGCTCTGTGATCAATGTGATGGTGCCCAGCAGGATGCCTGGGGTGAAGGTTGGGGAAGTAAACGATGGGCCATGGACACAGAGCCTATTGCCTGTGTGTGACTGTGTGCACAAGCTATTCTCCTATGTACTGGTGTCCCCATTTTTCACTTGTGTCCGTAGCAAGAGCTGAGGCCAGGGATGGGGAGCTCTGTGGCCTTACCATGGTGGCGTTCATGAAGCAGGTGGACACAGGGTGGGAGGAAGATGTTGGAGAGCTCAGGGACCTTCCGGATCATGTGCACTGCAGTCAGAACAGCCTGCAGGGGTCAGGGGGCTCAGATAGGGCAGGGGTGTGCCAGAACATGACACCCCCCACCTCCACCACATGGTAAACAAGGGACAGTTTCTGGAGGGGCAAGTGCCTAGTGTCCTGCCTCTCACCTTCTTGCGTACATAGGGGCTGGGCTGCAAAAGCAGTTTCTCCACCTCAGTGGCCAGGTCCCGGCACATCTCAGCAGAGCCCATGGCGCTCAGAGTGCATAGGGCCAGGCCTTGAACTGCCTGAATCCCTTGGTTCAGGTCACTGCAGAGTTGGGAGGGTGGTCAGTCAAGCCTCTGAGAAATCCAGATCTTCCCAGTGCCTCATAGCAGGCAGCCCCCTGGGATTTCCCAGTGTCCCACTCTCCCATCTCCCTGATTCCAAGTGCTTCCTGGAACTCTCTCACTTCTTGATGCTGTTGGTAATGAGCAGGTGGGCATCCTGCCTCTCATCCAGTAGAAGCATGGCACCCAGGTAGCCCACCCTCTTGTCTGTGAATCTGGGGGAGCCGATCAGTTTCAGGCACTCCATCTATAGAAAAGGGGGCAGACCAGGAAGGGGCAGGGGTGAAACCGAGGCACAAACACCCCTTTTCTATCTTCCTTCTTAACACCAGATTAACTTGTGGTGGCACCATATCCTATCACCCTTCCTTCAACAAGAGGCGAAGCTCAAGAGACTCAAAGTGGGTAGTTTCGAGGAACTAAGAGTAAGTAGGAGGATGGGAGAGGAAAGGAGATGCCTTGAATGGGAGTAGCCGGAGAATGAAGGGTTCAGTCCTGCTGATAACCTATAGCAATTGTAAAAGGAAAGGAGGTCAGTGGTGCATGCTGAGGGCGGTCTCAGAAATCCCATATAATAAAAACATTAAGGGCGTAAATAGGTGAAGGCGTCCGAGGCCTATGGAGGAATCCCTGCCCAGTACCTGTCCAAAGTGGGCGGGGTAGCCCAACATGTGGACGTAGAGCAGTTTGGCCAGCTGGCGGTGCCTGTACAGAGGATCCCCATGGCGGAAGGAGGCTCGGATGTGGGCACACTCCTTTTGGATCACCTCCCTCTCCTGGGCCTGGGTCTTGGCCCCACGAATCTCCTCGATTAGATCTTGAAGCTTCAGTGAAGGTGTCACCATTCTGAGGGGGGAGGGTCAGAGCCCGGAAATGGAGAGGGTTTTAACCCTCTCTGGCCGGGAATGCTGGCCTTTCTGCTCAGGATTGCCCTATGTTAAGATTCCGAGGGCCCGAGTCCCACAGCTATCCTAAAGCTGGGGCATTTACCTGTACTCCCCCTGCGTTTCTCCCAGTTTCGCCCCCACCTCGCCGCAGGAGATCACCACTACGCGTGCGTCACCACCCCACCTCGCGCCCTTTCCTACTGAGCATGCGCCAGGACCCCGCCCATTTTTCTCCCCCACCCTGGTTTCCCATCCCTAGCTAGATTCCTTTCCTTCCTGAGCCCTGCGATATGTCTCCCATGGGATTCCAGCCCCCTTTCATATCCCAGGCGGCCTCAGCTTCCCCACACCAGGACGCCAGCCTCACCTGGCTTGTGCTTCAACTCGGCTCTTCTCCCCCTAGCGCTTCCTGGTACGGGGCTGACGGGGGTTGGTGCTCGGTCCGGTCCTCCCCTCTCCCCGCCTCCACCACGGGACCCCGCCCCTCCTGGGCCGCTCTGCTTAGCTGCCTGGAATCCGCGGACCTCAGGTCTCCGTATTTGGAGGATGCGGGGGGATGGAGCTCTTACCCGCACAGGAGCGGCGAGACTGTGTAACAGGCTTGGGGCTCCTCACGGGCTCTTCGTACATTCTTACCACCCGAAGACCCTCAGCTGTGTTTGAAGCCATCGCACCCCAAAGGAGATGACAGTCCCCCGCTTTTTTGAACTTTTTTATTAATATATTTTTTGTTAAATTTCTTTGTATTTTTTTTTTTCCTGCAAGACGTGGTGTTGGCGGCACTGTTGTAGTTTAACTTCAATCCCAAATTCCATGAAGTAGAAATCAGAAGTAAAGGTTGAGAGGAGAGGAAGGAGGGGAGACAGGCCAGGGAGTAAACAGTTTGACTAGAAAAAAGAAGAGGGTGTGTGTGGTGGGCATTCCCAGGCAAGGCCATTCCTTGAGGCAGGGGGTTGGAAGGCAGCTTGCACTGCCTCATGCAGGGGAGGGAGAAAAGATCCCCTGGGGACCCTACAGTCCTCTCTTACTAGGGCTTCCCCAGGGGAAAGCTATCACCAGGCATCAGCCACAACCTCAAACAGGGCTCTCTGTCACCTCTCACCCTGGTTTGACTCCCACCTCTACCCTGCCTGGAAAGTATGTGAGATTGGCTTCCTTTGATCCCCTCTTTCTGTTGTTTTCCCATTTCACAAGATTCTGATGTGATGGGGGAAGGGATATAACCCATTTAGCTTTTTTCTCCTGTGGTTCCATTCTCCAGAATGGAACTGTGCCTCCCCACACCACAACTGCTGGAGCTGGGAAGTGGGGTCCTTGCTCAAGTGCCTCTAATCCTCTGCAGTAGAAATGTCTTCTCCAGGCCCCTTAGAAATTCAATCAAAGGCCACAAGTGAGTCTAGACCAACCAAATAAACTTTTAGGGGGAGAGAGAAGGGTTGGAGTGTCAGTGGGTGGATTTGGCTACACTGTACATTTTCTTTCCTTTACACATTGCTCTTGACATGGCATGCCACCCTGGGGGGCTGGATGAGGGGCTGGCTGTTGAGGAAAGTGATAGATGGTGGGGAGTCATTCTACTTTTCTTTTCCCTTAGCTCCTTCAGGGAAGGATGGAGTTAGGCAAAACCTGGCTCAGTGCTTGGAGGTGACACAGGTTCTCCAAAGTCAGAGATGGAGGCTGCACCTCCTCTGGCTTTTTCCCTAGGCCTCAGATGGACAACAGGCCCTTTGAGCCAGTAGCTTGCCCTGCATACAGTCTCCCCTTCTTCATTTTCTCTCTTTCTACTCAGCTTCCAGGAGACTCCTCAGGACACCAAATCCCCAAACTCATAAAAGTTAGGTCTAAAGAAAAGGCGGGGAGGGTGTGGGGCAAAGGTATGACTTAGATTTGTGTGTCTCAGAGAAGAGAGCAACTCTGAGTGAGAAAAGCCCTTCATATGTAAACAATCTAGAGAGAAAGAGAGAGAGAGAGAAAGGGAAGGGGGACAGGAGAAGGGAGTTAGGAAGACAGAAACAGATCCAGAATAAATGAGAGAATCTGAAAGGACAGAGGGAACGAAAAAGCAAGAGACAAAAACAAAGAGAGACAAAAGAAAGGGTGAAAGGGAAGAAAGATAGGAGGAGGAACAATCAGAAGGGGGAAAAGAGAAAAAGGCAGGCCAAGGACATGTTGAGGCAGCAACTGAAGCCAGAACTCGGCCAGGCAGGAGCCTCAGGTGAGGAGCTGGGAGAACAGGAATGCCAGGCTAAGGTCCAGGAGAGCCACGGCTCCCACCACCAGGGGGTTGGCAGCTCCCTAGAGAGATAGAGGAAATGAAATGCAGTCTTAATCCCTGAGGACCAGGTTCAGTGGCAGGTCCTACCTTCCTCGCCTGGCTAAGGTGGCAAAGCCAAAGGGTCCCAGGCACCTCTTTTCAAAGGCCAGGGCAGGGAATCTCCAGTCTTTGTTTTAGATTGCACAGCACCCTTCTTCTCCCAGGTCGGGTCCCTCTTTCCCTCTGCCTCCCTCAAGTCGGGAACAGCACTTCCTCCCTCCTGCTTCCACTCTCTTCCCACCAGCATGTCACGTGGCCCAGGCAGAAGGTGCCTGGCCTTAGCAGACGACTTGGCAGCAGTAGCTGGTACTGCAGTAAAGCAGAGAGGGATGAGAGGGTGAGGATGTGGTTGCTAGGAAACAAGAGAAGGCCTGGAGTCCAATCAGAGTAGAATGGTTCTGGGGAATCTCCGCCCCTCCTGCCTTCTTTCCCATTTCCCTTCTTCCCAAGAGAGGGAGGGAGAGTCAGAGTAGGGAGGGAACAAGCTTTTCCCTTTTTATTTCTGGGCACCAAAGAGAGAAAGTGTGGAGGTGGGATGGGGGTAGAGTAGGAAACTGGAAGTTGGAAATGATATGGAAAAAGAGCAGGCAAAATGTTCTGGCTTTACCGTTAATTATTAGTTTTGTAACCTTGGGCTAGTTTAAGTGCTCTGAGCCTCAGCTCCTCCATCTGCCAACAGAGGGAGTTGGACATGAGGGTCATTAAGGTTCCTTCTAGCTTGCAAGTTCTCAATTTTTTTTGAGATGGGGTATGATCCAATAGAGGCAGTCATAGAGGAAGTTGAGTCCAAATCAAAGCCCCTCAGAGGATCAGAAAGAGGTCTGCAAAGGATGAGAGGTAAGGCTTTGAGGAGAAGAGGGACCAGAAAGGAGCAGAGACTCTGGGCCCAGAGCAGGGATGGAGGGTGTCTCACCGGCTGGGCAGGCCTCTCGGTTGCAGCAGCCTCCTCACGCTCTTCCGTCAGGCTCCTGGCTTCAGAACCCCTTAAGGATGGGCCTCTCCACACTGGCTTGGCCACAGGCTCAGGCTCCGAGCCCCCTGGGGTGCTCAGCTGCGGCAAGGGCTCTTCATCTTCCCCCTCCTCCTCTCGAAGACTTCCAGAACTGTCGCTGCAGCCTCCGAGGAGTGGGGAACCATCTCTGGGTCCTGGCCCTTGCATCCCAGCCTCATCCTCGGCCTCATAGCCAGCTAGTTCCTCTGCCTGCTCACCTGGGCCCCCCCACTCCTCAGGCCAAGCTCTGGGGCTGGAGAAGGGACCCTGGTCCCCTCCGGGAGGCAGTGGACTCCGGTGGTCAGGAGGTTGCCAGGGTTGGTGGGAGGAGGCAGGACTGCTGGGCAGTTCAGGGGAGCCCTCTGAAGGGGTCAGTCCATTCTCATACACCCCAGGGCTGTCCTCATCCAAGGGCTCTGTGTCGGAACCTTCTGAGTCCTGCCTGGGTCTGCGGCCTGGGGCAGGGATAGCTAAGAATCAGAGGGGCCTAACTTGGCCTTGGGCTGCAAAAGCTATAGCTGTCTCTCCTCTGGGCACATCCCAGGACTTTGGCATTCCCCAGGCTTATAGCCTCTCATTGCCAGGCCCTAATACCCTAGTCCTTATTACCCTATTTCATGAATTCCCAGTTCCACTACCCAAACAACTGGGCCTGGCCCACACCCTCTGTCGCCTTGGACCCTCATACCTTGGCTTTTCTCATCCCCAGTCCCCTGCAGGGATTCCATTCCCCTTCCCCCTAAACCCAAGTCTCTCCAGCTCCCACCGCAGGCTGCCCCCACCTCACCTGGGGCCTCTAACATGGGTTGCAGGTCCTGGGCTATCAACTTGGCCATTCGAGCTGCTTCCACAGCCTTCTCCGCGACACTGCTTGCTGCCACTGCCTTTAGAAGGGCATCTGCTGCCCTGTTGGGTGCCGGGGACAGGGACTGAGCACATCTGTCCTGGTGCTCCAGCCCCTGGCCCACATCCCCACCACATACCATTCTCTGGATCTGAGCTCACCTCTGGAGTCCTCACCCTTGCTCCCACCCTGCCAGCTGCTCCCCTCCCCTGGCCTGGCAGGGCATCTGGCCTTTGGTTTCTTCGCCTGGGACTAGGTTGTACCAGTTGTCATCACACCCTCCAGCTCTTCTCACACCCTTCCACCTTTATGTCCTGTAGTAACACTTCCAGCTGCAGGGGCCAGACCCTCCCCCACTGCCCTCAACTTTGTTATTCCATTTCTGTTCCGCTCTTCCTGGCAATAAACAAGACCCACTCTTAGCACATCCCTTTGCGGTAGCACCTGCTTGATGCTTCCACGCTATTCCTGCCTGCCCCCTTTTGCTCTGTTGGTACCACTTGTTTTATCAGCTCCTCTCACACTTCCTGAGGGCACGCAGCTCTTTCCAGCAGTTTCACCCCACTCTGCCCCTTGTTCTGGGCCACCCTCTCCTTGTGTTAGGAGGCTTTGCCTTCTTTATTCTGCCATCCCTTATTATTTAACCCTGCTCCTTCCCTGCAGATTTCCCAACATGAGATTTCAAAGCTTGCTTTTCTTCAGCCTCTTCTGTTATTACATTGATTTCCTTCCTTCACTGTCTCCCTGCCCCAGTCACTGTCACTGTCTCCCTGCCCCAGCTCACCCTTTCTGAGCTTTGGAAACTAGAGTAAGGGTAGGTCCCACCTTTCTGCTATTATCTATTCCCGCTCCCTGCCACAGGCATGCTTTCTCACTATGGTGATGACATCTTCCTGGTAAACTCTTAGTCTCTCTTCCACAGTTCCCTCCCATCCTGCCTTGCCCCTAGGTAAAGGTAACCTTGAAGCATTATCAGTCTTTTCCCTACTGTTGTTTCCCAGTTCTCCCTCTGATGTCAGCTGCTTCCTCAATTTTCCCTTCTCTTTGTCCTCTGCTGTTAAGTGTGGATGCCTTGTAGTAATTAAATCAGTAACTTAATGTAATCTTGACTGAAGGTGAAGCACAAAGGAGTAGAGACAGAAATAATCAGATATACTTGCTATGGGCTTGAATGGATCAAGACCCATGACTTCCCCTGGCCTCAGGCCTGTTTTCTCTGGCTTCGGAAGGCAATCTGGGTATGGGGAGAAGGGCAGTAGTGTCCACTGTAGTCTTAGGTCCACCTCTTTATCTTCTTGGGGGATATGGTTAGTCTCGGCCCCTCACACCTGGTGGGTCAAAGACCTTTAGAGCCTGCTTGGAGGGACCTCAGATAACCCTGTTCTTCCATCTTGGGCATTTAAACTCTATATGACCAGACCAGACCAGTCCTGAAACTGAGCTGGTCTCAGGGTTTAGGGCAGGAGATAAGGTTTACAGTCTCAGGTTGCATTAACTTCTATTGTAAGCCGAGAAACCACAACCCTGACAAGGGCCTGTGTTTTTGAGTTTGGAGCGTCTTGATAATCAAGTTCTAGGCAGCAGACCCAGTCTGTAGATCTAGGCATCAGGCTATGCTAGGCTACCTGGCAGAGACACCTGCTGCTCAGGCTCTGCTGTTTCCATGGCATCTGGCAGCCAATCAGGTTTACCAGGCCTGTTGCTGGGGAGACCAACCAGCCTCCTCCTACTGCCTGATCCTCCAGTTACTGAAATCAGTTTTGCTGCACATGCTTGCTCTGGATCCAGCCTAAGTACTCCCTGGTGCTCTGCCCTCCCACTTCCCTGGTTTAAGGTCCTGTACTCTACCCACCCAGACACTTAGATATAGCTACAGATGTACATTCTTTGATTCAAGCATCTACTCTGGATATGACATGTTCATACACACACACACACACACACACACACACACACATACACACACACACACACAGCTTGTCGCCCATTATAGAAACCCACTGAAGCATTTTTGGACAAATATGCTTGACCTGTGATCCCCTGAAACAGTCTCAAATTTAAACAAAATCTTTCAACTGTGCCCTCCCCTTTAAAGAAAATCCTATATATAAAAATCAGTATGTGTGAATTTTATAAATCAGGGACCTATAAATCTCATTACAAAAGAATTTCTTGCTTTCTTTAGATCTGTGATATCTAAACCAGTAGTCACAAGCCATACGTAGCTATTAAGCACTTGAAATGTGGCTAGCCTGAATTGAAATGATGTACTGTAAGTGGAAAATACATACTAGAGTTTGAAGACTTATAAAAAAGGGGGAATGTAAATATCTCATTAATAACTCTCTATTGTTTATACATTGAATAATATTTTGAAAACTTTGGTTTAAATAAAAATAAATTCATTGGTTTCTTTCAATTCTTTTGTATGGTTACTAGAAGATTTAAAATTACATATTTGGCTTATATCATATTCCTACTGGACAGTGCTGTTTTGGACAACAAAGTTCCTGATGCATAGAAATGTAATATGATTACAGAAAGAAAATTTCATTTACAGGCAAGCCACCTCCCCTCAGACCTCTGTCAGCTGGGTAAAGGGAGGCAGAGGAGGCCATGCTGAGAGGGACTATCTTTTCAGGTGGATAGGTCAGATGTACAAACTCGACCTCCCCAAGGCCCAGTGTTGAAATACCAGACTGTGGGAAGGCTGTGATACGGTTAGGAATGCACACCCCCTATCTCTCTGTCAGGGCTGCTGCTGCTCCCACCCTGGAGGCTGGATCAGCTGCAATAAAAGGAAGACTAGGAAAGTCTGAGTTCCAAGAGGTTTCTGCACCTGTACAAGGCAGTGCTCATTGCCACTCCCATGCACAACAATGACACACATCCCCACAAAAGACACTGAGACACACTTACAGGCTAACACGGCTTCCCTCAAATACCCAGTCACCCATATCCACCTGCAGACTCAGATATAAACACCCCAAATCCCCAGGGCTACAACTGCCTAGGCCTGTTCTTGCCCACCAGGCCTGAGGCCTTGGGTCTTGGTCCTCCTTTAGGCACCACCCCATTTCCCTGTCCCCAGGGTATCATTTCCCCTGACCCCAGCTTTGGCCTATGCACCTGATGCCCACCTGGCAGCTGCGATCTCCTGGCGCTGGCGCGCAGCGCTCACGGCTCGACGGGCGCCCTCAACGGCCCTGTCCACCTTCTCCTTGACTTTGCCCCGCCGAAGGGCCAGAGGCAGAAGGCTGCGCACGCGGCCTCCGTGCACCAATCGGTTGCGCTTGTACTTGCCCTCCTCGCGGGAGCCGTCGGGGCGTGTGGTACGCCCATAGCCATGCCGCCGGTTGCCCAGCCACTCGCCCTCGTAGCGCAGCCCGTTGGAGCGTTGGCTCACGCCGTAGCCGCTGCGCCGGTCGGCGCGCCATTCGCCAGCATACACCTCAGTGGCCGAGCCCTCGATGAGGGCCGGTGGCGCAGGGGCCGGTGGCCCACTGGCTTCGGAGCCCGGGGGTCCTGTACTGCCCACCTCGCTGCTCACCTCGCTGCGCAGAGAACCCCGTTTGCTGCCCAAGGAGCTGCGCCGCCCGCCCGCCCGTAGCCCGCTGAGCAGCAGCGAGCGGCGGAAGAATCCACCGGCCGCGGGAGTGCGCTTTCGGGAGGACGCGCCGTCAGCATCCCCGGGGCCGGCCAGCACGAAGCCGCCCCGGGAGCCGGAGGCCGGGCTACCTCCCTCGTCGCCTGGCAGGGGCAGGGGCGGGGGCGGCGTCGGGGGGTCGCTGTGGCCCGAGTCCAGGGAGGTGCGGCGGGGCGAGCGCAGCAGCACCGCCTGATGGTACGGCACACTCTGGCGTACCCCGTAGCCGTGGCGCTTCCCGGCCTGCCACTGGCCTTGGTAGGTGCCTGCAGACGGGGTAGGGCGGGGAGAAAGAGTCAGGATCTGCTGCTCCTTGCACCCCAGGCCCCAAGCTCCCCTGGAAGCCTAAGTGTCTGGTGCGAGAGGTGGGGGCAGTCAGCGTGAAGGTCGGGGAAGAGCACTGGGAGCTGGGGACAGGTCAGTTTGGGTTGGAAGGTGTGGAAAAGCAGAGTGAAGACAGGTAGCAGAAGATACATGGATTTTGGCAGTGCAGGTAGGCAAGGGAAAGAGGCAGGGACAGGCAAGCTGAGGCATGTGAAGTGAAGGACAGGCAGTCCTGAGGGTGTGAAGGACAGGCTGACGGGTGGTGGTGGTCGTGGTGGTGGGTGTAGACAGTCATGTGACAAACAAACAGGACTGCGAGGGGCAAGCTGACTGAGGAATGTGAGGGAACAGGCAGACAGATGGAGAGGGAGGTGTGTGGGTCAGGCAGAGAGGAAAGGAAAGGTGTAAGGGACAGGCAGAAGGTGGTGTGACGGACAGATAGGGGAGGGGTGAGGGCAGGCACACTGGAGAGAGGAGAAGCAGGCAAGGGACAGACAAATGCAGAAGGCGAGTGTGATGGTGGGCGGAGAGGGCAGAAAGATGGGCACTGGGGGCGGATGTCGATGGGGAAGGCATATGGGAAAACGGCGGGCACTGGGGACAGGCGGCTGGGGAGGCATACGCTGGGCAGGCCGACCGCGAGGCGCACGCGGACGAGCAGACAGGCTGTAGTGGGCCGGGCCCGCACCTCCGTCGGAGTAGGTCTCGGTGCCGTAGCCGTCCTGGAAGCCGTCCTTCCAAAGCCCGGCGTAGCGCAGGCCAGACACGCTCTCCCACACGCCGCTGCGCCCCTTCAGCCCGCCCAGCCACTCGCCGCGGTACGTCCAGCGGCTCTTGCGCTCCACTCCCAGCCCTTCGCGCTTGCCCTGCTGCCAGTGGCCCTGGTAGCTGTGTCCGCCGGGCCCCGTGAAGACGCCCAGTGACTCGAAGCCGTGCGCCCAGCAGCCGCTGTACTCGCCCTGGGCGCCGGGCCCCGTGCACACGCCGTAGCCATGTGCCCGCCCCGCCTCCCAGCCCCCCACGTAGCAGCCCCCGTCGTCAAAGTCGAACTTGCCCCCGGGGGACATGCAAGTAGTTTGCGCGGCCTCGGCCCCCTGGCGGCTCAGAGCATCCTGGGGCTGGAGAGCCGGCTGGGGGCCTGGGAGCGGGGCGAGGCCTGGGGGCGGGGGCAGTTAGACCGGGGCCGTGCGGGGGTCGCCCAGCGCGGGCTGGCAGGGCCGGACCCTCATCCTGAGTGGCTGCGGAGAAAGAGGGGGGAAGTGGCGGCGAGGCCCCTCCTCTTTGCCCGCCGCTCCCAGGCCCAGTAGCTCCGGGGCCAGCACTGCCCCCCAACCCCCCACCCTTCAGCAGCGTTTTCCAACAGCTCCTAAGCTTTGGAGACGTGGGGGCTCCCCCACCCTTTCATTCTGGTATAGGGCCCCTCCCAGGAATTGCGGTCTCAACCCCAAGCGGGAGTCCCACTTCAACCTAGAACCCCAAAGTGTCGAGTGTGGATGGCAGTTTGTGGGGGTCCCCAGAGGGGGATGGGCAGAGTCGTAGGCCACCCGCTTCCCCGGCTGCTGTCAAGTCCCCTCTGTCCCAGTTCTTTGGCTTCCCAGACAAGGGGGAAAGATGTGTGAAAATGCAGGGGGGAGATCGGAGTAAGCTGGACAGAGAGTTTGTTGGGGGGAAAGGATGGGAATGGGGGAGTCTCTTAAGGGAAAAGGAGAGGGTGGGGATGCGCGGACAGGCGGAAGGGAGGGGGCAGGTTACTCACCATGTGGGCTGGGGCTCAAGCCGCTTCCCAGGCAGATCATCCATGGCAGGATACCTCCACTCCCACCTCTCCCCGCCAAACCAAGCCCCCTCCCCTTCCGGAGAGACTGCTCCAACCCCAGAACGAAGGTGGGCGATCCGCAGGAGAAAGTCCCCTCTCTCCCCAGCTGGAAGAGCCGGCGGTGGTGGGGGGTGGGGAGGATGAGAATAGTGTAGGGGGGAAAAAAATCTGTTTTGGATGGAGATAGGGAAGAGGAGCCGGGAGCTGGATGGTTAGGAAGAGGAGGCTATCTAGAGGGGGTGTTTTTATTTTTTCTTCTTATGCTTGGGAGAGGAAAAAAATCAAAATTCTGATTCCATCCCAGCACAAATCAATGTTTGCTCCATCCCAGCATCACCAGAGAGGCTGGGCCAGGCAGATTTAAAGGGGCAGGAAGAAGGGAGGAGAGGGTGGGGAGAAGAGGAGGTGATGAGATGGTGGCGATGACAGCCATGGGGTGGGGGGGATGCCCAGGCAGACCAGGATGAGTGCCTAGTAAACCAGCAGTGAGGGAGTGGGGAGGGGAGTAGAGAAGAAAATGAGGCACAGAGACCCCCAGGGTGGACAGTAACCCTGGGATTCTTCTTGGTGTGGGGTGAGAGGGAGGGGTGGGGAGAAGAGAAGAGTAAGGGGGAGGAGGCTGAGCTCAAGATGGGGAGGCTGGGGGAGGCTAAGCCAGGAGAGGAGGAGAGATGCTGGTGTGGCCAGGAGAGAGCCAGAGGAATACAAAGAAAGGTGCAGGGGTGAGCGCTAAGGAGCAGGGAGATATGCAGGAGCAGGAGGGAGGGAGACACATTCTGGGGCTGGTGAGGGATGGCAAGGAGAGAAGCAGGGGAGGAGGAGGAGGAGAAAGAAATAGATATGGAGGCAGTGAAATAAGGTTTGTGGAGGGAAAAAGAAGAAAGCTCTGCACAGGCAACGGCAGGCATGGGTGTAGAAATCCAGGCAGGGAGAGCCAGAGCACAGGCAGGAGGGCTGGAAGCCGTGTTTGTGGGGCTATGGGGAGAAGGAAGAACCTGCCAGCTGCTGGTCTGAAGCCAGGAAGCCTTTGGGCTTGGATGCCTGTGGCCACCAAGTCCACTGTCCTCCCTAAGAAACCCCTGCAGGGGACCAGGGGTCTCCCCCACTCGTACTTTCTGAAGAAGCTTGAAATGGGGCCCTGCCAGTGCTCTTCCAGGGTTGCCGTCCTCCACCCTCCCCAGCGATTTCTCCTTGGGCTGCCCCTCTGAACGGGGAGGGGAGGCATGCAGGGTATGTTTTTGAATGGGGAACAGGGGCTCCTGCTTGGCTGTCCAGTGAAGATCCTGGGCTTTGGAGTCCTCTCTCTTGCAAACATAGAGGTAAAGACACATAGACATGTTTGGGTGGACCCTATGTCAAAGCCCCCCTCAGCCTACCACCCTTCCCCAGCTATTCACCAGAAAGGCAGCACATCTTGGGCCTTACTGTTTATAGACAGAAGTAGTTATATCCTATCTTTCCTGCTCCTCAGCTTACTTAGACCCTACATCTAAGCATTGAGGAAGGAGGACGCTGTCCAATTACACAATTAGAACACTAGACCTCAGACTTTTTGCACCCTGTAACTCCTCCCAGGATTCTGTGTACTGGGAAACCTCCAAGACTCAGGAGCTCCATTTTGAGGACTTCGGTAAAATAAACAGCATGAAGTTTGGGATAAACAGGAATTTCCCTTGCACTTTGTTTTCCTAAAGGTGGATATGAGTTTGGAGAAATGTAAATGTTAAGCTTTCAGGGACAACATTTTCTAGGTGCCCAGCATGGAAAAGGGCAGCATGCATTCACTTGGGGCAAGACTGGTGGTGGAGAGGTCCTCCCTCCCTCCCTCCCTTTCTCCATTTCTCCATTAGACATTTACTTAGATTATTGCATGCCAGGCACAGTGCCAGGTGCTAGATATACAGTGGTGAGGGCCATGGTGCCTGCCTTCATGGAGCATGCTGTCTATCAGAGAAGACAGACAACTGAAAAGAAATAGTAGTGTAGTTAGTGCTGGTCCAAAGTGACAGGTTCGAAGGGTAGAAACAGGCAATAGGGGTGGAACCTAACATGCTGATTCCCTAGGGAAAGAGGCCTTTCCCATGAATCCAGAAGGGAGTTCTGGGGCAGGCCCAGCTGCATCACGTCCCTTACCCCTAGATAGTCAGGCCTTCCTTCTCCACACAGGGCCTTGTCCTACTCAGCCCCTAAGAGTTTCCTTTTCTCTAGGAAAGGAGGAAAACACGAAAAAACAAACCTTGAGCCTCATGAGACATATGCCCTGTTCTTCAGTGAGAAAGAGTAGCAGGGGTAAGTGGAAGGTGGAGGGCAATGTCTTGTTGGTAGAGTGACTCCACACTGAATTCTAAGCTGCCAATCAAGGTGTAGGGGCTGCTGAACCCCTGAAGAAGTCACTGAAGGAACTGCTTTGAAATTTGCAGGGCACACAGTGGCAGCCCCCCATGTCTCCCTGAGTGAAGCAGCCTTCCAATGCCTCTCTGATCTGTCCCTATACAGGTCCTGTAGCCTCTTAAGACAGAGATGCTGCACTGGTTCTTTTTGCCACCATTTACCAATGTCTGGGGGTCATAGAAAAGGGAACCAACACAAAGTGGGGTAGCTCTGTGCTTGGAGCTGGCACTGTGGGTCACAGCCACAAAACCATGACTGTGAGGCCAAGAGCTGGGTTTTCAAAGATGGACAGACTTATGTCTGAATCCCAACTCTACTGCTTCCCAGCTCGGTAAACCTGAGCACATTCCTTAGCTTCCCTGAGCTGCAGTGTTTATATTTCTAAGATGGGAATACCATAACCTCCTCCAGAGTTTATTATGAGGATTGAAATGATCATGTATGAGTAGCATGTGATAATACACAAGGAGAAAGCCAGAAGGCATAGTGACTAGCAAATAGTAAATATCTAGTAAACAGTGGCTTGAAAAATAGGTTGGCATTATGCCAGTTTTACAGGTGAGGAATCAGGGACCCAGGGGTTAATTTGCTCTTTAACTAATTAAATACAGATTTAATTAATTAATGTTAAAAAGCTAATAGGTGGCAGTCCTTGGAGTTGAGTATATATCTGGGTCCAAGTTAGTATACTTTAACATGCAATTTTGGGGGGATATTTATAAAAGTAAAACATGCTCACTGTAGAATTAGGAAAAAAAAGGCACCATATCAAGATATCAAGAATAAATATCAACCACGGTCTTACTGCATTATGAAATTTTATATAGTCTTCCCTTCCATGCACTTGTTATTTAACAAAAGTAGTTATATGCTGCATATACAATTTTGTATCCTTATTTGCTTTGCATTACATTTTAAGCATTTTTCATGTCATTAAAGCATCCTTGAACTTTAACAGCTGCATAATATTCCACTATTTGGATGCAGCCTATAATTTGTTTAACCATTCTAGCATAGCAATTTTATGCCATTTGCATAGTTTTTGCTATTAAAAATTAACATCTTTTATATAAATTTTTGAATCTCTGATGCTTTCTTTTAAGTCTTTTCTCATGGAACAATTCAAACACATATCAAAGTAGACCAAAAAAACAGAATAAATAACTCCTAGGTGGCCATCACCCAGCTCCAGCAGTTATCACTCTTGGCTAATCTTGTTTTCTTCTCTCCCATTTATTTCAAATTCCAGGTACCATGTTATTTCAGTTTATTGACTTCTTGAAGTTGGATTCCTAACAGTAGAATTACTACTGTAGAGAACAGAAACACTTTTTAAGATTTTGGATGCATCTTGCTGGAATCACTTCCAAAAAGGTTGTATAAATTTGTGCTTTCACCAACTATACATGTGAGCTCTGGTCTTATTGCACCCTGACTTGCATTGACCTTCAGTTGTAACACCCACAGCACACCCACACACACAGTTTTTGCCAAGTTGACTAGTGGGAAGTGCTTTATATACATTTGTTTGGTTGATTGCTAGGCTTATGTTGATAAAGCAACTGGTGACTGCAGTGGAGCACACCCTTCTGAAGGACCCCTAGGAAACAAGCTGGTACCTTCTGGGGAACCCCAGCTGGGGCTCACTGGGTGAGGAGTTTTCTTTCCAGAGACCAGCCAGCTTCCTTCTGTCCCCAGGGCAGGGAGAAGCTTGGGAAGAGCGCCCACCTCATCCCATTGGCAGCCATGAAGGTTCAGGCTGGGGCCAGAGATCCTGGTGGAGGGAGCGAGGGCAAGAATGGCCAACAGCCAGACACTGCATTTCCTCTCTCTGGCCACTGATGGCTGGACACACAGCTCCCCACTGCTTTTAGTGATTCCAGAACGTTCTGAATGGATATCCTTCCTTGCGTGACTATCCCTGTGTCACTGTTGCCAGGTTTGGCTTACTTGAAACAGAAGGGGTGTTTGTGAACTTGGCTCTACCTATTTCTCTACACTTTCTGTGGGATGGGGTTTACTATGGCGAATGAATATTTTTTATTAAGGTATCATTGATATCAAGGTTTCACATGAAAAACATTGTGGTTACTACATTCACCCATATTAGCAAGTCCCACCCATAGTCCATTGCAGTCACTGTCCGTCAGTGTAGTAAGATGCCACAGAGTCACTACTTGTCTTCTCTGTGCTACACTGTCTTTTCTGTGACACCCACATACACCATGTGTACTAATCATAATACCCCTCAATCCCCTTCTGCCTCCCTCCCCACCCGCCCTCCCATACCCCTCCCCTTTGGCAACCACTAGTCCCTTCTTGGAGTCTGAGTCTGCTGCTATTTTGTTCCTTCAATTTTGCTTTGTTGTTATACTCCACAAATGAGTGAAATCATTTGGTATTTGTCTTTCTCTGCCTGGCTTATTCCACTGTATATAATACCCTCTAGCTTCATCCATGTTGTTGCAAATGGTAGGATTTGTTTCTTTCTTATGGCTGAATAATATTCCATTGTGTATATGTACCACCTCTTCTTTATCCATTCATCTACTGATGGGCACTTAGGTTGTTTCCATATCTTGGTTATTATAAATAGTGGTGCAATAAACATAGGGGTGCATATGTTTTTTTGAACCTGAGAACTTGTTTTCTTTGGGTAAATTCCTATGAGTGGAATTCCCAGGCCAAATGGTATTTCTGTTTTTAGTTTTTTTAGGAACATCCATATTGCTTTCCACAATGGTTGAACTAATTTACATTCCCACCAGTAGTGTAGGAGGGTTCCCTTTTAAGAGTCCATCCTTTTTTATGGCTGGATAATATTCTGTTGTGTAGATGAACACGTCTTCTTTGTACAGTCATCTTACCAACGGACGCTGTAGTTGCTTCCATATCTTGGTTATTATAAATAATACTGCAGTAAACATAGGGGTGCATATACCTTTTTGAATCAGTGATTTTGTTTTCTTTGGATAAATACTCAGAAGTGAAATTACTGGGTTGTATTGTATTTCTAATTTTAATTTTTGAGGAACCTCCACACTGATTTCCATAGTGGCTCTACTAATTTACATTCCCACCAATAGTGCATGAAGGTTTCCTTTTCTCCATATTGTTTTTATTCATGTTGTTATTTCTTGTCTTTTTGATACTAGCTATTCTGACTGGTGTGAGGTGATAGCTCACTGTGGTTTTGATTTACATTTCCCNGTTCTTGCAGGTGTGGATGTGGTCTGGATGTTGTCCTGTGTCCTGTGGTCTCTATTTTAGGAAGATTTTTCTTTGTTATATTTTCATAGCTCTATGTGTTTTTGGGAGGA